AAGGCTATTTTCCCATATGCGCAACTGAAAAAGTTGGACCTTACCCAGCAACTCAAGAAGCTGATTATGAGGTAGTGATGGGGCAAGTTGTGGTGGCAGTGAGCTCCGCAGTTGGGACTGGCTGGCATCATATCTTCAACTACTGCTCCCCAGAGCAATAGAGCATTAATATGATTCAAGACACATCAGTAATTTAAAATCTTCTAGTAGCCACATTTTAAAAAATAACAAGTGAAACTAACAGTATTAGTTTTAATGTTTTTAGTTTTAATAATATTTAACCCAATATTTCTAAAACTTCACCATTTCTCAATGGCAATAGCCACATTTCAAGTGCTCACGAGCTATCTGTAGACAGTACAGCTCTAGAACCATTGTATTAAGCAAACCATGGTATGCATAAATGAAAGTAGAGTCTTCTGAATTCTTTCATTACAACCACCTTGCAAAGGAATGAAAGAATCAGAGAACAATGTTTATGAAGTCACCCGTATATGGCTAAGTCTAGATGGTCTACAGCAGTGATTTTCAACCAGTGTGCCATGGCATGCTGGTATGCCCTGAGAGGATCTTAGATGTGCCATGAAAACTTTTAAAGATCATTAATTAAATTATTTTTGAAAGAAGTTCAAAGGATAGTAAGTATATTCTTTTTGTTTAAACTCTTTTTTCAATCAACATAATTTAAGTGTGCCTCAGAAGTTTAGCTATAAGTTCAAGTGTGCCATAAGATAAAAAAGATTGAAAAACACTGGAGAGACAATCGTCCTGGGTTTGGCACAGCTAATCTACCAGACTTGAACACTCCCTTCCAGAAAGGACGCCCACCTTGTCCCACACCACTTTCACTTCTCTCCTCTCATTTCCTCCTTGATATCCTTAGTTTAAAGCCCAGTTCCAATTTCAAATCCAAAAATTCTTGATGCTCTCCTCCTGTGAAATATAAGTATTCATCAAGAGAAATTTACCTAACTCTAGGCACAGAAAGAAAACAAGAATTGAAATCCAAGGATTCTTTAAGAATTCAATTTATGGCCTGGCGTGGTGGCTCACACCTATAATCCTAGCACTTTGGGAGGTGCTAGGTGGGAGGATTCCTTGAGCTCAGGAGTTCAAGACCAGCCTGCACAAGAGACAGACCCCATCTCTACTAAAAATAGCAACATTAGCTGGCCACTGTGCCCTGCACCTGTAGTCTCAGCTACTCAGGAGGCTGAGGCAGGAGGATCGTTGGAACTCAGGAGCTTAAGGTTGCTGTGAGCTAGGTTGAGGCCACTAGTACTCTAGTGTGGGGCAACAGAATGAAACTGTCTAAAAATAAAACAAAAGAATTCAATTAATATGACAAAGTCTGAAGAGCTCGGTCCTGGATAATCCTATCAGCTGTCTTTTTCTGCAGCAGCAATGTCACTAATGGCTAGTTTATCATACACTTTCTCTGTGTAAGAACTGTGCCAGCTTGTTACATGTTTTATTTCATTTGATGTTGACAACATTGTAAGGTGGGAATTCTTACTCTCACTCTATAGATGGAGGATGCAGATCTACAGAAGCCAAGCAATTTGCCCAAGATTACACATCTAGTAAATAGCAGAACTGGGATTCTAGACAAATCTGGTATCATGTTTGAGGCTGAACTGCTTTGCTGTAATACTTTCTTGGTACCTTTCCGGCTATAGCCACAAAGTGATGGGATTCACAACAGGCCATTTATCTCTCTGTGAATTGTGAGATAAGCAACTAATTGCAATAAAACTCACTTAGAGATCCTTCAGGATGACATAACAGAACCTCTGCACCAGTGGAAAACATCCCTCACTCAGAATTCACTCCCATCACCACAGGAAAAGGAATTTCACATAGGAGTATTTAGTTGTGTTTTCTACTCATCCATCTTCCTGACTTTGCCACAGAACAATAATAATTAAAAATCATTTTTCAAATATAGTGCCCTGAGAGTAGTAAAGGGACTCATCCATCTCAACAGTCCAATTACTAAAATATCACTAGTTAAAATTCAACACTTTAGGAGCAAAATCTTTTTATTGTTAAAACATATAACAGAGGAATCAAATTTCTTTCTTAAAACAAAGTTGTAAAATGTTCAATCGTTTCTATTCTCTTTGGAAATAACACTTAAATATGCTAAACATGCATAGCAGAGAGTAAAATTCATTTCACTAGATCTACTCACTCTATTTCAATTTCAATAAGTTAATTTATTCAGGAATAAACTGCTTTGGCTGGAAAGTTTGCCAGTTTTTAACCTTCTTAAGTAAATTATAACTTATCTCCTCTGGCTCAATGTTAGCTGAACTGTAACCACTAATGGTGCTCAGAGAGAGACATTATAATTACTTTTAATCATACTATTTTTGCTATGGTTGTACATATTCATTTCTGTTAGTCCACAGACATTTATCTGAAATTCATAACTACATGGACACATTTTTTCATCTTTTTCAATTTATCAATTAGAAATAGATTATAAAGAGAGCATCATTATTAAGAGGGAGGCCATTGCATTTTTAAGAGTTACAACTATTTATTTAATTATTCAAATCAGGAAGCATTTATCCAGTGCCAGCAATGAAGTCTCCTTTCAATTGTAGTACAGATGCTGTGTTTGGGCCTTATATTATACCACAGGTAAGGAGAAGCATGGCTTTATTTTTAGGTTCTTAATTCAAAGGTCTTCTTCTATGTGTTAAGAATTGTTATATTAAAACAAAGTTAAGAAAAACTCAATTATAACAAAATCTATTTTCTTGGAAACAGTTTTTACAACTTTGCAACTGGGATGGCTTTGTTACTCTGTAAAACGGTTGCCAATACAAAAACTATTAGCCCAAAGAAAAGTTTCTCCTGCTAAAACAATTGAAATTATAAATCAGCAAAAAATCCAACTGAAACCACAGTCCTGATAATCTAAGCCTCTGGGACTCAATTCAATGGAATTAGTTTCCCACAACAATGACAATAAAAATCAAGATGATCTTGGGCAGTGGAGACAAGAAGAACTGAAGAGGTGAGGTGATGTATCATGAAGTGATGAGGCCACTGGCCACTTTCGCCACAAAAATCTCTGAGGCAGCAGAGCTTGATGGTACATGCTACCTGGGTTCTCTCCTCTTGTTCCCTTACTTGGACTCATAAACCTCTTTAAGACATCATCCACCTCCTCCAGAACTAACTGGGACTTCGGGAGATGAGTGGGGTGTAAGTTCAGAGATCCTGGCTTCAAGCAAATATCCCTAATAACAGAAAATAGGTGAGGGGAAGAAAAACAAAGAAATAAAGGAAGAAAATTATTATAATCACTTAACTTGGGGGGGGGGAGGGGAAGTAAGGGAAAGGGAAAGAGGAATGACAACTTAGGTCCAGGAAAAATTATTGCTGGCATTAATGACTTGATTGACAAGTTGGGAAACTGAGGTTGCTCACCAGTCTACAGATCAATGAGCATCCCCTTTACACCCCAGAGCTAAGGTAGGGCCAAGTCTAGCAGACAGAGGATGGTTCAATTTCCCTAACTAACCAAAAAATAAAAATCTTATCTGTAACTAACTACTCAGATAAATCTGTACTTAGAGAAAGATAAATCCTGAAACATGGTAAAACAAAATCACAAAACATCGTATTTATAATCATGTACTGATTGACTTCGCCATTTTTTTGAGCCCCTAGCAAGCAAATGCCAAAGAAAAAAGACACAGCGCCTACCTTCACATTGTTGACTGACAGGCTATCTAGCATGGAAAATAAGACTTACTAAAACACAAAAACAAAATCAAAAGCACTTTCAAATGGGATATGTAAAATTTTATATACGAGTAATTATTCTTTACCAAGTTTTACATAAAATTTAAAAAATTGTGTTATAAATTCCCAAGAAGAAAAGAGAAACAACAAATACGGGTGGGAGTGTGAAAAATACTAATAATAACAGCAGGTAACACACAAGAAAGCGCTTTACGTATATCATTTAATCTCCACAACCACCCTGTGAGAGAGTACAATTTCCTCATTTACCAACTAGGAAAGCTGAGAGAGATTAAGACACTTGCTTAAGAAGCAAAGTTACGATTTGAGCCCAGGCACCCTGGCTCTTAACTCTATTTTGCTGCACATAATAATAACATTATTACTAATACTACAAAGTTGTTGCATACTGCAGATTCATTATCTTGTAAAACTAAGATTCAGAGAAACATCCTCAAGGTTATACAAGCTACAAGGAGGTAGAATTAGGGCTCAAACCCAGATGGCTCAAATTCCGAAGTCTTTTGACTGCACCCCACAACCCAACTTGCACTCTTTACGCTCAACCAAGTCAAGCCTCATCTCTCCCTGTCAACACCACCCACTCCTGCCTCGCGCCTCAGAGACACAACTCGCCCCAGCGGCGTTCCACAGCCCCCAGCCTCCCGGATCTCCCGACCACTCTCGCCCAGCAGGGGCAGGGTTCTTACCAGGCGGGAGTCGGGGGACCCTCGCGATCTTGTTGGTGATCTCTGCAGTGAGCACCGCAAAGTCCTGCTCGTAGCCTTCGAAGTCAGACGACATGGTTGCTCCGGAGTGACTGGCCGGGCTGAGAGCCCGGGTCGAGGCAAGGACCCGCGCAAGCGGGCGTGGAGCAGCGTCTTAGGGACCCCGTGAGGTACCCGCGAGAGCAGAGCGGAGAACCGGGGACAGCTCCCAGCCCAGCCGCTTCCTGGTTGTTCGTTGGAATCTCGGTCCTCCGGAAATTTGGCTGAGTGCGCTTTTTATTTTCCGCTCAGACTTCAAGATTTAGACGTTCACTAAGGAAAAACGCCCCAATTCGTGCCCCCTCCAATGCCTCCGAAAATATACGAGTTATCTGGGACCACTGAAGCGTTTTTCCCTCTCATGTGTTCTGGGAAACGGTCCCAGCTCCCCAAGCTCCAGGTCACAGGAGCTTGCTTCCCGAGGAAAGTTTGAGGAGGCGAACCTCCCGGAAGTGGCTGTGACGTAGACGGCGCCCGGGACTGAGCGCTAGAATGTTGGCGAGAGCGCGGGCGGAGAGACGCACAGGTGGTAGCAGGTCCTGGTTCCAGTCTCTTGCATTTGCTTTCTGCTCACCCTGAACTGTGGTTTAAGACGGAGTCATCCCAGGAGGAGAGATTCTATTCCGGGTGAGCCCAGACCGCCCCGGATATGCGATAGCTGAGGTTCGGGCACCGGGGACCAGACTGAGGTGGGAGTCAAGGCAGGGAATGTGACCACGATTTGGGCGGTCTCTGCCCCACCAAAGTGGGCCACAGTCTCCCGAATGTTGAGACCAACCTCGCTTACCAGGATATCCTGTCCCTGAGCGAGGACTTACTTCTAAACGCTCTGCACCATAACACGAGCGGGAAACTGAGGCACAAGGCGGCAGCATCTGTTGCCTGGGAATCTCTATTATCCTTATATCTCAGATCCTCAGTCGGAAATACCCTTCTGCAAATCTTCCCCGCGCTCGCTGTCCTGCCTTCCTCCTCCCTCACTCCCGGAGGCACTTCCTCTTCTTTTTTTCCCCTCAAATCTTATTCGTGTTCATTCTCCTATACTCTTTTGGGTCATTACTTCACGCACACACACCCCTTCCTCCTCCTCTTGCACTCTTTGCCCTTTCTCTTGCTTCTTCACCTTTGCCCCAAATAAACTATCACGCTGACGTTTGCAGGGTCAACTGCAGGCAAATGGCATAGGCTGTGTCTGACTCATACTTGGCTTAACTCAAGACTTATCAGAGATAGCTTAAAACTCCTCAAAGCAAGTTAGAAGACTTGCCTTCTATTCTGGGTTCAGCAATTACATGTGACCTTGGTCTAAATCACTTAGCCTCTCTAAGCCAATTTTTAGTCTGTGAAGAAGGAAGCTGGATTAGGATCAACTCTAAAGCCCTGATTTCCAGCTTTAAAATTCTTTTGTCTTCTCAAACCATTCACAAAGTGTTGGACAGTCAAGCTAGGAACAAAGGATAAAAATAGTTACTGTATTTTGGAATCATATTTCCAGTTTACATGGCATTCAAACCATAATTGTATTTTGGATAAATCAAAAGTATTCTTTTTGACGTTTGACAAAAATGCTTATCCCAAAGTAATTCATTTCTAAAATGCTTTTGTTTAGGTGCTTGTTGGAGTTAACAGACACAGTATATAATAGTTTTTACTGAACTTTCCCGTTTTGTTTTCTTTAGGTTGCGTTTCAAACCAAAATACTGGATTCTCCTACTGGATTCTCTACTTTTGTTAAGAGCTTGGAGTGCTTAACAGTGAAAATGGCATAATCTGGTTAACATTTCACGACTTGAAGGCATGACAATTAAAGAACACACATGGACTTGTGGCTCATGGAAATGTGTGCACAGAAAAAGGAAATCTGTAATTATTTAAAAGTAGGAAGGCATGACAATTAAAGAACACACACGGACTTGTGGCACATGGAAATGTGTGCACAGAAAAAGGAAATCTGTAATTATTTAAAAGTAGGAAGGCATTCTTCCTCTCCAAAATGGGTACATTCTGCTCAGTGATCAAGTTTGAAAATCTCCAAGAATTAAAGAGACTATGTCACTGGGGTCCCATCATAGCCCTTGGTGTTATAGCAATATGTTCTACAATGGCCATGATTGACTCTGTGTTGTGGTACTGGCCCTTACATACAACTGGAGGAAGTGTGAATTTCATTATGTTGATAAATTGGACTGTCATGATTCTTTATAATTACTTCAATGCAATGTTTGTTGGTCCTGGATTTGTCCCTCTGGGATGGAAACCGGTAAGAAAAAGATTCCTTAATATAATGATAATCATATACAGTAAAATCTCCACAGTTCAGAAACTAGTGCACTTGTGCAAATAGCTAAACTATAGAGTGTGATGAGTGCTGTTGAAATTAGAGGAACTGAGCATTTTCAACTGGGGACCTAAGGGGGAAGTGGCAGTTTCTACAGGGGGCAGGGAAAAGAGCATTTCAGGTTGAAAAAATGGTCAAAGCACATAGTCAGAAACAATGGACAGCCTTGTGTTCATTATGACTGGAAAAACAATCATGCAGTGCAGAGAAGGCTGAAAGGAAGGCGGATCATGGAAGATCTTGAATATGTGAGAAGTTGGACCATAGGAAGTTACAGGTTTTTAAGCAGAGCTCTGACATAGAGTTGTATTATAGGAATATTATTGTGATAGTAGACAGTTTGTATTAGAGAGAAATTATAGGAAAGAAAACTTAGGAAGTGATCAAAATGTCCCCTAAGGAAGTGACAGTGATAATATCAAGGAGGGGGCAAATTTTAGAAAGAGTATCAACGCATGGTTGAATTCCCACTCTAAAATACTTGGCAAATTGTCACCAAACTTTTTCTGAACTCCTGCTAAGATTTGGGTAGAGAACCAACTAGTGACATTGGATTTAGGTGAAGACTGGGCAAGAGGAATTTAAAGTGACTTCTGTGTAATTGGGAGAACAGTGCTGCTCTTATCAGAAATTTGTTCCTTAAAAATATTTTGGCTTAAATAAAAGGACTAGAAACTCAGGTAAGATTCCATCCTTCCCTTATCTCCCATTTAAAAAAAAATCATACCATAGGAAGGTATTTATTTATAAAACCTAACTTGTTATTATTTGGGTTCTGGAATCTGATGTATTTTTGTTTCTATTTTGTTGCCAAGGAAAATTCTCAGGATACCGTGTATCTCCAGTATTGTAAAGTCTGCCAAGCATACAAGGCACCACGTTCTCATCACTGTAGAAAATGTAACAGGTACCTGTCTTTCTTGTTGATTGGGGACTCAGTTTGTAATCCTAGTTTTATTCTCTGCAAGGTTGCCACTTTATAAAAACTATTGTCAAAATACTTGTGTTCATAATCACCACTTTACAATAAATTATCAGTTCAGATAATACATTTCATTTTTTTATTAGCTTTTTATTTCAAATTAATATGAGGGTACAAATTTTTAGGTTACGTTGTTCTCACTTCCAGGGCAAAGTTCCCTTTGTAAAAGAGCCCCTCATCCAGGGGGCATGTGATATACCCTCACTGTATGCACATTAGGTGAGATCCCTCCTCATGCCCTCCTTTCTTCTGCCAGTCATCTTCCCCCCTCCCTCTACCTCCATATTAGACTATATTTGTGGTTTATTTTCATATGAGCATGTAAATGTTTATATATTGGTTTCATGTTAGTATGGAGTACATTAGATATTTATTTTTCCATTCTTGTATACTTTACTAAGAAGAATGTATTTCAACTCCATCCAGGAAAATATAAAAGATGTAAAGTCTCCATCTTTTTTAGTGGCTGAATAGAATTCCATGGTGTACATACACCACAGTTAGTTCATCCATTCATGGATTCATGGGCGCTTAGGTTGCTTCCAGGACTTTGCAATTATGAATTCAGTTGCAGTAAACATTCTGGTGCAAATGTCTTTGTGATAAAATAATTTTTGTTTTTCTGGGTAGATACCTACTAATGGGATTGCAGGATCAAATGGAAGGTCTACTTTTAGATCTTTGAGGATTCTCCATACTTCTTTCCAAGAAGGCTGTATTAGTTTGCAATCCCACCAGCAGTGCAGAAGTGTTCCCTTCTCTCTCCATCCACACCAGCATCTGGTATTTTTGACTTTGTGATGTGGACTAATCTTGCTAGGGATAGAGGACATCTTAGAGTGGTTTTGATTTGCATTTCTGCAATGATTAAAGACAATGAGCATTTTTTCAGGTGTTTGTTGGCCATTCGTCTATCATCCTCAGAGAAGTTTCTGTTCACATCTCTTGCTCACTTATATAGGGGGTTGTTTGTACTTTCCTTATTGTTTAATTTGAGTTCTGTGTAGATTCTAGTTATCAGGCCTTTCTCAGATTCATAGCATGCAAAAATCTTCTCCCATTCCAAAGGCTGTCCGTTCGCTTTGTTTGTGATACTCTTTTTAGCTTGATCAAATCCCAGTTATTTATTTTTGGTGTTGCTCCAATTGCTAGTGGGAGGTTTTTCTCATAAAGATTTTTCCCCAGGCCAGTATCCTTTTTTTGCAGTTTTTTTTGGCCAGGGCCAGACTCGAACCTGCCATCCCATGTATATGGGGCCAATGCCCTACTCCTTGAGCCACAGGCGCCACCCCCACACCAATATCTTCAAGTGTTTTCCCTACACTCCCTTCTAGAATCTGTATTGTTTCATATGTTAAATTTAAATCTTTTATCCAATGAGAATTAATTTTTGTCAGTGGTGAGAGGTGTGGGTCCAGTTTCAGATTTCTGCATGTGGCTAACCAGTTCTTCCTGCACCATTAGTTAAATAAGGATTCTTTTCTACAGTGCATGTTTTTGTTAGGCTTATAGACTATCAAATGATGATATGTGTCTGGGTTCATCTCTAGATTCTCTATCCTATTCCATAGATCTGCGTCCCTATTTTTGTGTCATGCTGTTTTGATCACTATGGCCTAGAAATATAGCCTGAAATCTGGCAACATGATGCCTCCAGATTTGTTTTTATTTCTAAGAACCGTATTTGCTATTTGGGATTTTTTTCTGGTTCCATAATGAGTCAAAGTACTATTTTTTCAAGTTCTTTAAAGTATGTATGACATTGGTGCTTTGAGGGGGATTGCTTTAAATCTACAGATTGCTGTGGGTAAATTTCATTCTTTTTTTATAAGTGAAACTATTTCTCTAGAAAATTTTATTTTGCTTCTTGCCCTATAAGAGCAGAGTTATATAAAGTTATACCTTCAGTTTGTTTCATATATCAGGATTAATTGTGTTTATCACTTGTAATCTTGATTAACTTTAAATTTGTTCTGAGTCTAAATTATAAGGAGACCTGCTTCTCACATTACTTAGCGACAAACATTTACACATTATACAAATAGAATAAATGAGTCTGGCTGCCCATTATTACAACTGTTTCAATGTGAAAAACTTATTTAAAAATGTGGAATAAGCTAGAACCTTTAATGAACAGCTGTATCCACTAACTAATAAGAAACTAGAGAAGCTTTGAAGGCAAATCGAGTTTGTTTTGAGGCCAGGACATTTTCTTCTAGTGACAACAAGGAATGGAAGCACAGTTAAGACTTCATTTATTATACTATATCTTTTACTATGGAGTTACCTTGTTTAGCTCAGAGATTTCATAAGGATACTATGAAAACAGGAAGGAAGGAAGTTACAGGTGTTATTAGGGCCCATCTCACCCCAGTAGAGATTTATCAGTGATGTTCGTGAGTCTCTATTATAGTTCACTTTAGTCACTGCCTTTCCGACCTGGAGGAAGACCAGAGAACTGTGCTTTCTTTATAATGACTCTCTAATTTCTCTAAAAAACACAATTATAGTTGACATCTTCTCTTCAGAAGCTACTACAAAGCCTGCCTTCCCTCGTGCTGTTTAGAATTTCAAGAGTCACCGTTCATAATTGTTTAAAAGCTCATAAAGATTTTTCTTTCTGTTCCATGGAGTATAATTTCCCTATGACTCCTGGACATGCTGCTCTCCTATTTGCTTGATCTTTGAAGACCGAAGTTATTTAAAGTAGACTGGATTCTCTGCTTCATGTATTATGTACATTTTTCTTGTTAGATGTGTGATGAAGATGGACCATCACTGTCCTTGGATCAACAACTGTTGTGGTTTCCAAAATCATGCTTCGTTCACACTGTTTCTTCTTTTAGCACCGCTGGGTTGTATCCATGCTGCTTTCATTTTTGTTATGACTATGTACACACAGCTTTATAATCGGGTAAGTAAAAAAATTTATTATAGTATCATTCATACTAGATTAAATGGTCATTATCAAAATTATTTAAGAGTTTCATTTTGGATATGAACTTTCTATGATTTAGGTGGAGAGACAGAACTTTGCTTACTGTTATCTGGGTTCCTTTTTTAAAGAAACATTAAAACAATTTAAAATGAGGAAAGTTTATTTTGTTTTGGATCTTACCTTACATGCTCTAGTGGAAGTTGATAATTATTTTAGTACTGCATATATAGTTTATTAAACTTCAGACTTAATAGTTATGAAAAAATAGTGGAAAAAAGAGCAAAGAGGAAAAAAAAGACAATATTGGTGGTTTCTGTTTTCATCTAATTCATATGGTAACTTGCAGCCTTTGTTTCTGACTCCAGTGCCCAGGAAGGCGGCTGGTGGAACAGATGCACACCCTAAAATATGAATATATTAAACCAGACCCAGTATGGGCAAGTGGTCTTATAACAAAATCCAGGGGTCACAAATTAAACTCCCTAAAGAGCCCTAGAAAGTAAATGAGGAAGATAGGCCTGATGGGACTGTGACAAACTGAAGCGTGCCCACCATTCAGGGAGAGCACATCCCATGTTTGATCAGCCACTTTGTGGTGGTTGGGAATCCTAGCCCAGTGAGGTCTTTTACTTTTTTTTTTTAAGAAAAATCAGAAAATCTGGATTTTTTTTTTTTTTTTTTGAGATGGAGCCTCAAGCTATCCCCCTGGGTAGAGTGCCGTGGCATCACGCTCACAGCAACCTCCAACTCCTGGGCT